ATTGTAGGCCAATGATAGGAGACAGGGCCAGCTCTGGCCCTCAGATAACTGTGGGGGCCCTGCTATTAGTGAGGGTTCCTGTGGCTGTGGGGTCTCCCTGGGGGTGTGTGCCTACCCTTGGAGGCTGGTAATGAGGGTCTGGTTGGGGCATCTAGGTGCACAGCTAGAAGGTTATCTGCCCATGTGCCGATGGGTGAAGTGGTGAAGGCCAGTGGCTGGAGCAGAGCCAAACCCAGACCCAGAGACCCCAGGGAAGGCCTGGCTAGCTGGCATGCACTTCTGTGGCTGTGGGATCTGCACTAGGTGCATGGGCAGCAGTGAAGGCCAGTGACGAGGGTCGGGCCAGAGGTGTGCCAGTGCACGCTGGGAGGGGGTAGCCCCAAGTGTGAAAATGGCAATGGGAGTCAGCACAAGGGTCTTGTACTTGTGTAGCCACAGAGGCCTGGGCTGGCTGCTGCTGTGGATCCTTGGCTCTAGAAGCAGAAGGTAGAGGTAGGTGAGGGTGGGGTATGGGCAGGGAGCAGGGAAGGAAGGACTCAGGAGTCTGGAGTCTGGGAATGTGAATATCCGTGAGGCAAAACCCTGTGAAATCTGCAGGTGGCCCACAGTGGCTGTGCCGGCCATGGCCATCGGTGGTAGTTACTTCTTGGTGGCAAGAAAGATGCTCCGGTCTTCCTGGAAGCAGGTCACTGGGAGCCACAGTCATTCCTGCTGCGTGGCTGATACTGGTAGCACCGACTTTCCTTTGTTCCTTCCTATCTCTATTCATCTCAGCCTTGCCAGTCTCTGGGTGGTGTAAAACTGAAGTATGTCCTCTATGCGGTATCCTAAGGCTAGGGAAGCCGGCCACTCACCCTGTCCCTTCCCTGGTGAGGGACACTCTTTCAGGCTACAGAGTTGCCAGGCTGGCATCAGATGATGCAGGCAGAATGAAGCTGCCCTTCCTTCCCTTCACACACAACTACTCTCAGGTTTTTTTTTTTTTTTCCCCTCACTGAGTCACTGAAGATTCATAAGTGGACTCCTAAGCTCTCGGCTTTTCTTTGTGGATAGCTGCCTAACAGTTGATCTCTGTGGGGGGATGGAGGCTCAGGTCTCTTTCTTTACCCTCTTGGTAATGTCAACCTGACTTATATAACCACCTTGAGTTTTACAGTAACTAGTTTTTTTAAAGTTACAATATCCAGTGCTTCTTCTAAATGGGAAGGCCCAGTAAAATCATCTGCAACAATTCCCCATCCGTGCTGGGACACAAACTAAGACTCAGGAGGGTGAGTTGCCTAAGGTCACAATTTTATTTGCAAGTTGCTCTTAAGACTCAAGATCAGGTCACTGAAGTAAAATAATATTCACTCTCATTTGCTTTTCCAGCTGGTAAGATCTTGCTCAGGTCCTGCTGACCTACTCGGATCATAATTCAAATTCACTTGCCTGTATAAAAGGCCTCTAAGAGTCTGCTTTGAACCTGAGTCCTTTATTAGGTCAGCCACACATGGGCAGGAGCAGAGCAAGCAAACCAGGTCCTTTGGAGTGCTGGCCCCTGATGGGAAATCCAGAGATGTTTTCCTTTCTCTACACATGGAGGATTGGATTCAACAGGGCAGACTTGATGCAACAAGGTGACCACAGCAGTAATCAGTACCTGCCAGGAGGTGGATAGGTAGATGACAATATGTATTTCCCCACAAGCTACTGGACTGAGTAGTAAAACTTGTATTTATGAACAATTTTGTTTTCTGTTTTTAGGCTTGTCCCCAGGCGCTCTGACATTTCAGCTGCTCCCTTCCTCTCACCCACCCACCCGATCACTATTGGGTCATTTCAGCCAGAGAGAAGGGAAGCTTTGATGAGAAGGACACAACATAGCTTACATATTTGGGGTATGTACTGTACTTTCTCTGCTATAGTCTGCCAGGAATTCAGTCTGTGACCCACTAATATCCCACCCTCACCCCACTCCATACAGGGCACTAACGGAAGCAGGACAGGCTTCTCTGTTCTCTGTTTCTGTCTCCATCATGTTCACACGCCATTTACACGGCACAGGAGAAAAGAAAATCTCTGTGAAAATGGAATGGACGGGGGCAGCCTGGGTGGCTCAGCAGTTTAGCAACGCCCTCAGACCGGGGTGTGATCTTGGAGACCCAGGATCGAGTCCCACGTCGGGCTTCCTGCATGGAGCCTGCTTCTCCCTCTATGGAGCCTGCTTCTCCCTCTGCCTGTGTCTCTGCTTCTCTCTCTCTTTCTCTGTGTCTCTCATGAATGAATGAATGAATGAATGAATGAATGAATAAATAAATAAATAAAAATATTTTAAAACATTGAATGGACAGTAAAAAGGGGTCTGCATCTTATTCAAAATTAGACAGCCTTTCAGAACAGGGAGGCAAAGTGGCCGAGAAACCAAGTTTCATCCTGCAATTGCATAGGACACAAAGTTGCAGACTACATTATTTCATATCTCTGATACTTTTATCCAGAAGAGGTTTTTTTTTTTAATTTTTTTATTTAATTGAGAGAGAGAGAGCGAGCAAGAGCATACAAGTTGGGGGAGGGGCAGAGGGAGAAGCAGACTCCCTGTTGAGCAGGGAGTCAGATGTGGGGCTTGACAAAGGCGCCCCTCCAGAAGAGTTTTTATGTTTTAATTCTGGTGCCACTATATGCCCCATAAACATGGACCTGAGTTCCTCATATACCCTTTCCTCCTCTCACTGTATCAAATACAGCAAGTAAGTGTTTGATACTTGATGCAAGATGATCAAAAAGGAATTTTTGATTGATGATTTTATCGAGAGAGGGAGAAATAAGGTAGTTCCTAATCCACATACCCACTAAAACCCCAGCTGGATATCCAGGTATATCCCTTCCGGCTCCTCTTTCCTGCTGGGCTCCAATATTCCTCATTTTTCTTCATAAAAATTCTCCCTACCCACAAATGATCCTTTCGCTCTACATGGTAATCTAGTGGCATAAGCATAGATCCTGCTTTATTCCTTACAATCCCTTTAAATAGCCTACATTAGTGGAAGACCTCTGCCATTTAAAGTGATAGCCCTACCATACTGGTTATGGCTTCATACTAAATAATGCAAAGCCAATTTGAAAAGAGCTGTATTCAATTTACTTGTCCAGGCAGACAGTCCCCTAGGGGTCAAACTACATCTTTCTTCCCTTCTTTTCTCTAGAAAGCTTATTTCTTTTAAGGTACAGACACAGATTTTAGATTTAGTAGTTATCAGGAAAAGGCAGCCTGGATCTTGCTAAGTGCTGACAGCTGGGCTGTCTTCAGGCCCAAGTATAGATGACAAACTGTCCATTGACTTCATGAAGGTAGGGATGGTGTCGTGCCGTCTTGCTCCATCATCTCACTGACTGCCCCACAATAGGCATACTCAATAATCATTTATTGATTGGGTCAATAAATGCAGTGAGCAATAAATGAAGTAGTAAACCAAGGAACTATAGGAATCAAATTCAGGTTACCAGGCCAGTTTTAGGAGTACGGAGATCAGGATTCCTGCAGAGGAATTCCTGCAGAGGAAGCACAGGACCGTGGGGACTACAATGATAAGACAGGGAAAATGACCCAAAACCCCGAGATAGGGGGTTGTGTATAGGGAGCTCACCTTTTCATTAGCCTCACTCTTGCTCACACCTTATAACAAACACATGAAATATTGAAAAAGATAATTCCTTGGTTAGAAGTTTAATGCTATTTGGACCTCTGAGTTATACCAGCAATGGCTGGGACTTCTGGCCGACTCTATGTCAACACAGTTCACAAACATTAGCTTGATTAAGGGGGCTGTTAATTTTCTTTATTTTCAGATAGAGAAATCACATGCAGATGATTTGACAGCATATCGGAGTCAACTGGCTAAGGTCAGCATCTGGGATTCGAACTTGCTTCTTAGGCTATTCCTTCCTCTACCCACAATGCATCTCACTGAATCAAGCAACATGCTAAATGCCTTAGTCAAACAGATTTGTGTTTGTTTGTTTGTTTTTTAATTTCCAAACTGCGGTAAAAAAACCACACAATATAAAATTTACTCCCTCAACCATTTTTAAGTATACATTTCAGTAGCATTAACTGTATTCACATGGTTATGCAACATCTCTAGAAATTTTTCATCTTGTAAAATTGAAACTCTATACCTGTTAGCCAACACTCTCCATTTCTCTGTTCCCAAAGCCCCCAGCAAGAACCATTCTACTTCTGTTTCTGTGACTTTGACTACTCTAGATACCTCATAGGAGTGGAATCACTTAGTACTGTATTTTTTGACTGGCATTCACTCAGGATAACGTCCTTAAGATTCATTTATGCTGTAGAATTGACAGGATTTTCTTCCTTTTTAAGGCTGAATAATATTCCATTGTATGTATATGTTACATTTTCTTTATCCATCCATTTATGGACATTTGGGTTGCTTCCACCTCTTGGGTATTGCGAATAATGCTGCAATTGAACACGAGTGGGCAAATACTGCTTCAAGATACTGTTTTCAATACTTTTGGGCAAATATCCGGTAGTGGAACTGCTGGATGGTTTTATCTTTTGCTTTTTGAAGAACCTCCATATGGTTTTCCATAGTAATTGCACCATTTTACATTTCTACCAGCAGTGTGCAAAAGTAGATAGATTTGTTTTTAAATAGAATAACTGTCAGTTTTAATATCAAACTGACCAAACAGCCTAGCCTGTAGTGTCAAGCAGTGATTAAATTCTTAAAAATGTCACTCAACTAAAACTCTAAACCGTAGGCCTTAGTTTTTATGATTAAAGCCATACACCATTTAAACATGCATGACAGAATTATAAATATGGATCAGCATCCCATTTTAGGACAAATAAATTTAGCAGTCATTTTCACAGAGACGACGACAAATGAAGTAAAAGCAAAGGCAGTGAGTGTTGAGCCAGCGTGAAGGTCTCGGGGGAAGAATTGTTACTTGCTGAAAATAAGTATAAGCAGGTACACGGATTGCACTCTTACCCTCGTTTTGGCATCGATTTTAGCTCCTCGGTCAAGCAATAGTTTTACCATGTTGGCATTTCCTCTTTTTGATGCAACATGTAAAGGTGTGATGTCATTCTGTGGAGGAACAGGAAAAAGAAGAGTTTGGTATCTTCAATTCAACCCAAACATCACTTTCTCAACTTCCCCCAACTTTTCTCCCTGTTTAAAAATTATCATTGTGAGCAGAATGCTTCCCAACGTTTCTGACAGTAACTTTACTCAGGGGACCCCCCCTAAAAAGGGATAAATTTTAAGGAACATACTCTGTGGGGTTGGGCCTAACTTTATTTCATTTGACTGAGGTGACTGATAGGTGAGATGGCATTTTTTTCCCCTCTAAAATCCTGCACCATTAAGTCAATGTATTGTCCCATAAACTCTGATGCACATCAGCTGGTGAGTGGTTGACTGAGTGGCTGATGATGGCTAGGACTCAGTAAGAGGAGTATCATGTTACGCAGAGCCATCTCTGGGTTCATTTGAGCACAAGATATCCAGGGAAGACAACAGCAACTCATGGTGGGAAATTGGTCAGGAACAAAGTCACAGGACTTCCATGCATGTGGGGCTTTTAAAATGTGTTCACAGGCATTTATTAAAAATGTTACAGTTCTCTGTTTTCACATTTTTAAATTCCTGTTGAGGAATATACATATTGTTAGAACAATCTAAAATTCCAGTTGTGACCTTTCAATACCACAGGTCTTTCCTCCATGCATCTTATAGGTGCTAAGGTTGTTTCCAGACTGTCAGGGCAATGTGTGCATATAGTGAGAACATTATCTATTTTGGCTCCTCACTCCTATGTAGTGGCAATATGGACTTACAGTCCATTGTTCCCATAAGTCAATTATATGATGTATGACCTAGGCTCATACAGGGTTATGTTCTTGTCATTTGGTAGCAGCTACAATATCATGGCTCCCAGGGACTGACTCTGCTCAGGTGTTAGGCTCTGTGCTCAACTCTTTACTATCTCATTTAATTCTCACAATCCTCACAATGCCACAAACAATCTGACCTATAATATCCATTTTACCGATGCACAAAGAGCTGGCGAAACCAGGATTCAAATTAAAATAAAACTCAAACTTAGGTTTTGAGAGAAAGGCACGAGCTTCATGTACTCCTCAGTCTGGTTCAATACTTATCAACCTTTCGGTGATATTATTTCTTCTATGCTCCCTGCTATTTTGCCTTTTTTTTTTTTGTATGCAGAAGTTTAAGAGGAGGAAGAGAAAAACCCAGGCATCACAGTATTTCACCCACAAATACTGCAATTTACTCTAACAAATAAGGATTTTTTAAACAAGTAATCACAATACCATTATCATATTTAACAAACTAAAAATAATTCCTTCATAAAACCAAGACTTAGTGTTCAAATGCTCCCATTATGTCCAGTTAGCTCAGAAGTATTGTTCAAATTAGAAGAGCCACACCTACATTAGTTGGAAATGTCTCTTAAGTCTCTGAATCTTCAAAGGTGCCTGGCTCTGTTTTCTTTTTTCCCTATTTATTTATTTATTGAAAAAAAGCTGAGAATTGTGTAGACTATTCTCACTTCCAGATTTAGTTGCTTTCATCCTCATGGAGTGTTGTTGAACATGTTCCTTTGCCTTGTATTTTCTATAAACTTTCCCAAATATTATAAACTATAATGCTCCTAGCAGTACATTCTCCTAGCTGAAAAACTCTTACCCTCTTTATTCTTAGGTGCCGAAGTATCAACTGATACATAAAATGAAGGATGAAGAAAGAGATCTCAAGAAACCAAATTTGCTTCAGTAATGCTGGTGGGGAGTACACAGGATGAGTAACATTGCTCTAGACCAGGGTAGACAAACTTTTTCTGCATAGGGCTAAATAGCAAATATTTTCAGCTTGCAAGTCATACAAGGTCAATGGCAACTATTCAGTTCTGCCATTGTAGTGCTAAAACAGTCATATAAAATACGTAAAGAAATGGGAGTGTTTGCGTTCCAAAATTTTATTTACAAAAACAGATGGTGGGCCAGATTTGACCTAGAAACAGTAGTTTGCTGACCCTGCTCTAGATCTATCAGCTATGGCTGAAGGTTTCAACTATGGGTAACAGTTCACGAAAGAGGGAGTAGAGCTATATGCTGTGCATTACATATGCTGTGGTCTCCTTTAGTGTGGACTATTTTTGGCATGAATGAAAGCTGGCAAAAGAAAACAAAACTCCTGGTGACTCTAATTGTATAGTTTGTGCCCATTGCCCAAGTGCAAGTGTGAGTCACTACAGTGACCAAGCAGAACACTGGATGAATACTAGACCTGAGATGGCAGGTAGAAGAGCAGGTTAGGTCTATAGGAAACATGGTCTAACAGGAAGCTTACTGAGCCCAGAGCAGGAGATGGCACAAAGGTCTCATCTCTTCCCAGCAGGAGTCAGGGCTTCCATGTGATTTCCCTTTAAAACTGTGCCCTTGCCTGGTTGAGAAGGACTTAATTAACCTCCATTACAAGTAGGCTAATTTTAGTGAGAGGAAGACTCTACTTCTAATTTTGCTCTCTTCCATATTCATGGACTCTTTCATACGGTGATGCATAGATGTCAAAAGGGTGCCTTGGAGTTCTAACTTGCACATTTTTCTACACCTCTCTGACCCTGGAGGAATACTTTATATTTCTGCAGCACTTAAAAAATGTTGTAAAGGGCTTACATTTACATAATTTCATTTTATCTTCACCACACTCTTTTGAAATAAATCATTCATCCTATTTGACAGATAAACTATGGGATGGAACTGGTCAGTAATTTGTATGTTAAAAGACAGTGAATTAGAAGCAGAATCAGGATGAGAATTTGGTTTTCTAGACCCTCGGCAGTGGTATTTTTCAGTAACGGAAACAACTATTGCTTTTCCTGTCAAATGGAGCTTCGGAATGAAATATATACCTCTGCATTCCTGAATCTGGTAGTGACTGCTTCTGTCAATTAGGAACAAATCAAAATGAAAGTGGTACCTCTAGACCACTCAATGTGGTTCATCAGTTAACCAATACAAATGTTTTATGTCCTTCTGCGCATAAGACCTGCTGTATTAAGTGACCAACAAAATTATGGAATCTCAACAGATCAAAAGAGCCCAGTGATATTAGAGATGAAAATGCATGTTTAAGAGAACCCTCTTTTGCTGCTCACAGAATGTATTCTAGGATGCGATTTGGCGGTATATATGAAAAGCCTGCAAAGCTAAAACCACAGACATAAGGCAGAGATTGACAGCCATAGTGACAGGGTGGGAATGATAAGAAAGAATGTAAACTCAGCTAACTCTTGGCTACACTGGCTTAATCTTCCACATTTATAGCCTGATAGGTAAGGGATGCCCATTTTCAGACAAAGATACTATTTACCTGGAATCTCTCCAGTGGAACAGTGAGCTACAGGCATCAAAAGTCAGGGAATTTCACCAAAGATACTGGATTTCAGTCAAACAGAAACCCTTGGTAAGAAAAACCACAATCTAGGAAACAAAGACTTCCTTTGATGGGCTCATCACTAGACTTCACACAACTGAGAAAGGCATCAGTGAACCTAGAGATACATCAGTATAAGTGATGCAAACGCAAAGGGGGAAAAAGGAGTAGAAAAAAGGAACAGAGTCTCATGGCTGGGGGACAGTACAAAGCAAATGACTAGGAGTTTCATAAGGAGAAGAGAGAAGATGGGGCAGGAGAAATACCTGGAGAGACAATGTTCAAGAATTATCTCAAGATAATGAAATGTACGAGACCATATATCCCGGAAGCTCGGAGAACACCAAGCAAGATAAACTATAAACAGACACGTTAGTCCAATTGCTGAAAATGAAAGATAAAGGAAAAATCATAACGGTCACCAGAGGGGAGAAGGACAAATTTCATATAGAGAACAAGGACAATAATTACAGCCTCAGATATTATGCAATGCTGAAAAAAAAGTGGCATCTTCAAATACTGAAAACTAAACACCTGTCAGCTGAGACTTCTATACCCAGGAAAAGTATCTTTAAAAAATTGAGGAGAAATAAAGACTTTTTAAGATTAACAAAAGCTGAGAGACTCCATTACCATCAGACCCATAATATAAGAAAATATTAAAGGAGGAGTGGGAATATGATACCAGACAGAAGCTTAGACCCACATAGAAACACAGAAATGACAAAAATGAAGGCAAATGTAAAAGATAACTGATTGTCTAAAGCTGAAACAGAGAGTGAATTGAGGGCTTTACAACATATGCAAAAGTAAAATGCACACCACCCACACATAGATCGCAAAGTTAGAATGATCCTCATGTTAGGTTCTCACACAATGTGTAAAGTGACATAAATTTGAAGGTAGACTGTGATAAACAACATACAAACTAGGATATATTATTAAGTAAAAATATGCTCTTACATTTGTGCATAAGTATATATATACATACGTTCTAAAAAAGCTATAGAGATATGGACTCTAATGCTAATAATCTCTCAGTACTGAGATTATAATTTTTTGCTCCTTTATGCTTTCCTAAATAATTTCTGCTATATGCATTTGCATAACATACAGTGAAAAATGGTTGTGTTTCTTTTTTATCATTACCTAATTTGTAGCCCATCATTGCCATCTCTGTCTTGGCTCGTACTATTTGCATTTCCCACTTTGATAGCCATGGAGAGGTTTTATCTACCCATCAACTTTCCTTATATTTGAACTTTGAGGGAACCTCTTAAGCCTGGAGGTATCCTGAAGGTACATATTTATTATTAATGTTTCCCCATTGACATAGAAAATTAAGTACGGCTAGAGTTAAAGCTCTACATATTCCTTCCAAGAAGAAACCTGAATTAAAACTTGGATAAAAACAAATTCAACCTAGAGTTTTGAAGCTGACCTGAATTTAGTGCAAACAAGACTAAATACTACTCTAATTTTGTATAAAGTAGCTTATTAGTGGAATTTTTTTCTTGTACCAAAGATACAGCATTCAATATAATAGAATACATTAGCGTTTTGGAAAATTTTGTTCTGTAACTGATGAGGATGTCTGATTCAGTCTAATCACCTATTTTATAGAT